TGAGCAGGAAAAGGAGAGCCCTGGTTTTGGGGAGGAGGGGGAAGGGGGGCAAAGCTGGGACCGGGGCGAGGGGCTCTTTTGCCTCTGCACTGCAGATTCTGCCCCAGCCATCCTCTGCACACTGTGCTGCAGCGTGAAGGACCTTTTTGGATTCCTGGAGGTTTCCTCCAGGAGCTGCCGGGTGCTGCAGCATAGGACCCTGCGGCAGAAAGGATTGAGCCTTGCGACCCCACCCCGCTGCACCCCCAACACCTCCCTGCCCTCCTTGCATGGGGTGGGGAACCTCATGGGTGGGGGGTAACAGGAGCCCAGGGTGGGGGCTGCAGGGATGGAGAAGGGGCGAGGGCTGAGGATGTACCGTAGAGAGGAGAGATCCCCAACCTTGGTCCCAGGATGGGGGACTTGGAAGTACAATACCTTGGAAAGACCTGGGCTCTCTGCCTGGATCGGGATATCTGAGTGAGATTTGGTGGAAGGGGGATGGATGGGGAATGGCCGTTCCCTGCTTCTTCCAGAGCAAGAATTGGGGGGCACCAGATAAAACAGGCGGGTGCAAAGCAAGCAGGACAAGGTGGTTCTCTGAGGGAAGCGTAGCTGAGCTGTGGGACTGCCTGCTGCTGGGCTCTGTATGGGATCCAAGCACCTTTAGACAACTTAGTGGCAGAAAAGCACAGGGAGGAGGATGGAATGCAAAGACATTTCCTCTGCCATGGGAAGAGCCTGGGTTGGGAACCGGGATGTGCAGGGGGTGTTGCTTGGGAGGCAGTGTGGGGGTAGAGGTGTCTGGGTAAGTGCAGGGCTGCTCTGCAGGGTGCCTGGGTCCCACCAGCGGGACTGCCCGTCACCCTAAGGTCCAGGAACCCTCTCCACTCGTGACCTCTGGCCACACTCAGTGAAGCCCATCCTTGTGCCTCACCATAGGCATGTCCAGGTGTGCCAGGCTCCTGTGTGTGCACAGCCTGGCACAGGGGCATATTGGGCACCCACCAAAGGTGCCTCTCAGTGCAAGCTGCAGGTGCAATGGCCATGTCTCAGAGAGGACAGTTTTCCTCGGGAAATTAGGAACACTGGTGCCTGATTCAAAGCCACAGCAGCCTGCCCTGCCCTGGTCTCTCCTTCCCCTACACCTGCCTGTGCCTGCCAGGGGTGCAGGTCAGAGCAGTGTTGCACCCCAACTTCAGCTCACCATGGAGACATCCTTGGAGGGAACAGTGCCCCTAGAGATGGGCAGGAGCCCAGATTCAGGCTGAGGTGGCAGTGGGGAATACTGGTGCTGGGATAGTCCGTGTACTGCCAAGATACCTCCTTGGGGCTGCAGATTAAAGAACAAGGCCAGAGCCTCACACCAAAGCAAATGAGTAGGTATTCATCTTCAGTGGGGTGTGAATGAGGGTCAGAGGGATGTGGGGACCCTGGATCCAAACCCACTGCAGCCTGCATTGACCTCAGAGCCTTCCTACTCCTGTCCGGAGGCGCAGGGGCATCCTCTCCTCCTCTTCCTTAGGGGGCAGGATAGGGTAGGGATGCTGCAAAGGAGACAAGACCTCATTACCATCTTCTGTATCTCTAGAGCGGGGAAGATGCAATGAGGTACATCTGAAACCTGGGTCTGGGAGGGAGCAACATAGCAGGGGGTCAAGGAGACCAGGGCACATCCTGCCCCTCTCCTTGTGCCCTGAGAGGGAGCTTTAACCTCTCTGGGCTCGGCCTTGCAGGCAGCGGGCAGATACAGCTGTGGCAATTCCTGCTGGAGCTGCTCTCGGACCGGGCCAACCTGAACTGCATCGCCTGGGAAGGCACGAATGGGGAGTTCAAGCTGATCGACCCCGACGAGGTGGCACGGCGCTGGGGCGAGCGGAAGAGCAAACCCAACATGAATTATGACAAGCTCAGCCGGGCGCTGCGCTACTACTATGACAAGAACATCATGACCAAGGTCCACGGCAAGCGCTACGCCTACAAGTTTGACTTCCATGGGCTGGCACAGGTGTGCCAGCCAGCTGCCCCCGATCACACCCTCTACAAATTTCAGGGCAACTTGGCCCCGCTGCCCTTCTCGGGCATCTCTAAACTCAACCTCATGACCTCGGGGGTGACACCAGCCAGCTTCTCCTACTGGCCTGGCTCCAGCCCATCCCTCTATCCTGGGCACGGGCTCCAGCCCTCTGCCCCGTTCAGTGCCATGGCAGCCTCCCACCTCAACAACATGAACAACCATTACCATTAGAGGCTCAGCCACGCCAGGCAGACCTCCCCGTCCCTGGTGGCATGGGGCTGTGGAGCTGGGGAGCTCGGCAGGAAGGGATGGGGGGGGAGGGAATCATGCCCTGCTCTCAGTTGCCCCCTTTTGGATTTGGAGAGTGGCAAGGGGGGCGAGGGGTGCTTGCAGGGTAGCTGGGTTGGTTCCCTGATGTGGGTGGCTGGAGGACAGAAGCTGTCTAAATTAAGGATGAAGAGGGATCCACGATCCTAGGAACAGACATGGATATCTAAAGCAGGGTGTGAATGGAAGGAAAAACCATGGGCTCTCCTCCTGGCAGGACTGTGCTTCTCTTTCCTTTGCAACATGCCATGCACCCCATGAATGTCCTTAGCTCTGTCCCTAGCCTGTGCCTGCCCTCCCCTCTCCCTGCAGAGAGGAGTGAGGAGCTGGAGCCCCAGGGCAGCTTTGTCCAGGGGTGAAGGTCTCATTGGGCAGGGTAAGAGAACCTTCCTTGCCACTCCTTGGTCCCCCACCTTTGTCTGCAAAGCTTTCCCTTCCTCTACCTCTCCTACACCTACTGCTGAAGGTGGCCTCCTCCAGACCTCAGGAGAAGCCTTGGTCTGGAGAGCAGGTGGCCTGCACAGGTTAACTCCTGCCCAGGGCAGGGCTCTGGGGTTGGAGGTGCCAGGGGCAGGTTGGGGACATTGCCAGCCCTCAGGGCAAGGCCGGAGCCCAGAGGCAGCAGTGTCTGGCCCCTGCAACTCTGCCTTCTCCCCAGTGCCCGAGGACCATGCCACAGAGTGGGACGATCCCCAACACCCTGTACATGAGCCCATGTCCTGCTGGTCACTTCCAAGTTTAAGGCTCCAGTTTTACTGTGACTTTAGCACCTCGCATGCAGGGCTTGGTGGGATACCCTCCACAGGTGGGGACATCCCCTGGGGCAAGGCTGGGTCAGAGGTGGAGCAGAAGGGATGACAGCAAGGCTGGGAGCCCCAGACATCGAGGGGCAGCCCTGGGTCTCTCCCCCTGGGTCCAAGGAGGTGCCCCCATCCTCTGGAGCAGGACTTTGGCCCAGTGGATGCAGAAGAGCTGGGCATGCCGGGCTCTGCGCTGGCTGGGGGGAGGGATTAGTCTTCAATAAAACAGAGAGGTGCTGTGACCTGTGTCCTCTTGCGTCTTCAGGGGGATGGCAAGAGGGGAAACCACCCAGCAACCCCCCTCCCATCCCAGCCAGAGCACCTACAGGACTGGGATGGGAAGGGTGCAGCCACCCTGCTGCATCACCTTTTTTCCAGGCATCGCCTCTGGCTCTTACAGCCCCCAAGAGATAGGGCAGAGCTGGAAACCTCTGGGCTTCTTGAGACACCCCTCCAGGGAAGCCACATACCCCGTTCCCAGGCTGGCAAGGGAATATTGCAGCTGGAGGCAAAGAGGAGATGCAGTTGGCCTGGTAGGATGTCTTCCACCCCGACATCATCCAGGGGAATTTAGGATGCCACGAGCCAGACCTCTCGTGACCCACGTAGCCCCATGCAACCACCTTGGGGCAATGCGCTGGGCCCAGCACAGCCTGATCCTGCAGCGGGTGTCCCTGCTGGGCTGCGCCGTGCCAGGAGCAGGGAGGTCCCAAGCCGTGGGGCCAGGCTCATGTGTGACATTGATGCAGAGATGAGCAGCAAAGCACTGCTTGCCCAGCTTCAGGAACATGCCATGGATCCACTGGTGCCTGTGGCGGCTGATGTGGACTCAGGGGCTGCCTTCTGCCTGCCCCCACCCCCTTGGGGCTATGCTCCCCATCCCACCCCCATCAGGGGCCTGCGATGCCAGGGCTGGGGGCCAGGCTCATCGCAACAATCCAACCGGCTGTGTAGGGGGGTGCCATGCAATCACCCAGCCCATGGAGGGTGTGGCCAACTCCTCTCCTTGTGCCCCCCAGATCAGAGCAGCCCCTAGATCTCAGGC